CTTTTTTGATTTGTCGACGTTTTACATTGAAAGGCCAAGAAAATGGACTCTTTAAGCCGTTTTTTGCTAATTTGAGCGTTTTTTCGCTCTAATCGAGTGATTTGTTGCTATTTTACGTGTTTTGTGGCTAATTCAAGTAATTTTTTGACACTTTCCATTGAAATTTCAAGATAATGGACGCTTTAAGCCGTTTTTTGCTAATTTAAGCGTTTTTTCGCTCAAATCGAGTGATTTGTTGCTATTTTACGTGTTTTGAGGCTAATTCAAGCGATTTGTTGACACTTTCCATTGAAATTTCAAGATAATGGAGTGTTTAGGCCTTTTTTTGCTAATTTAAGCGTTTTTTCGCTCAAATCGAGTGATTTGTTGCTATTTTACGTGTTTTGTGGCTAATTGAAGTGATTTGTCGACGTTTTACATTGAAAGGCCAAGAAAATGGACTGTTTATACCGTTTGTTGCTAATTTGAGCGTTTTTTTTGCTCTAATCGAGTGATTTGTTGCTATTTTACGTGTTTTGTGGCTAATTCAAGTGATTTGTTGACATTTTTCATTGAAATTTCACGATAATGGGCTATTTAAGCCATTTGATCGTCGTCACGTTTGATCTTTTGACTTTCAAATATCTCTAAAGATTTTCTCGATCTTTTACAGACGTTTTCAAGCTTGACGTAGAGGCGATTTGTTGACAAATCATCAATCGGATTTCCGCAGGCCGTCTCTCAACTTGGTAGAAGAAAACAAAAAGAAATAAGGAATATCGCCGATTCTGGCATCCAATTTCTACCGAATAGACAACATAAAGCGCGTGAAGACAAGGGAAAACTTTTCACGTATCCAGATCATGATTTATTGTTATTTCTTGCTGACTTTGCTTCAAATTATTGCTGCAAGAAGAGTCGTCAAGGAGTCAAGAAATGATGGCAAATGAAACAAGTGTCATTGAAGATTTACAAGTAAAAAAGTTGATTTGGTAATTCTTGATGTCATTTCTTGATATCATTTCCTGATTTTAAGCTTCTTGTTCATTTCTTGGCTTTTTAGATTTTCAATTCAACAGACATTGTTGTCAGAGGGAAGCGTCAGACTTGCGCCGGGTGTTCCTCTTGTTCCAGTTGTTCCGGATGCTCAGGGTGTAAGTTCTTTTCAGTTTTGAAAGCTCAACTACTTTGAAACCTAAAACTTATTTCATTTGAGATACCGTTTGATTCATTTGAGATTTGAGATACTCTATTAGTACGGCGCAGTACTATTCTTTCGTCACGGCTCAAGCCGCAATACTAATGCAGGTGCAGTAACTATTAGAGGTGCTACTACTTCACGAAAATCCATCTTGGGATCAAGAGATAAGATAAAAGATCGAGCGTAAAACGTTAGGTTTATAGCCAAATTTTCAGAATCATATGTTTAGTCGATTTCTTTATAGAATTTTTCAAAAGATTTTACGCAAAACTAAAGAATGCCACAAAATTAGAGTTGAGCAGTACTATTAGAGTTGAGCAGTACTATTAGAGTTGTCGCCAAGTTCCACAACAAACTCGTGTTGCATTGGTCAATCCTTCCCAATGCAACACGAGTTTGTTAGGGGAACCTGGCGACAACTTTAGATTAGGACGAACTCGATTTAGCAACAAGGCTTGCATTTGAAACAATCATCACGAGCAGTCAGCATCACTAAGATTCTCATCTTGTCGTTGAAAGAACAGAAACTTCTTTGAATCCTTTTTCCCGAACAGAAACTTCTTCAGAAACAATGAACAGAACAGAAACTTCTTTGAATCGTTAAACTGTTCGAAGCATCAAGAAAGATACCCGTTTCATCGCAAAAGCAAAGATCAACACGTAATTGCCTTCGTTGCGTATCTTCTTCCTGTAGGAAATTGCAGTACTGTAGAGTTTAACTGTAGAGTAGAGTAGAGTAGAGTTTAACAGTTAAAAGAGTATTTAACAGAAAAATGCTTCTATCAATAAAACTTATAAAGAATCAACACTGAAAAGAAATGACGTGAAAAAAATTTAAAAGATTAATATAGGAAATTGAAAGATATTCAGCCAACAAACTGGAACACATTTACCTACACTACTGGACAATGAAATATCATATTGGAAAAACGATCGTCACTTTCGCGCGTCTGTAACTTCCTTGTCTTTACCGTATTTCTAAATATTAATATTACCATTGTGTAGCCCTTGAAAAGAGCTTTCAGAAAATGTATAACACTAACAGTTTAAACTCAAAGACAAGGGAGACGCACAGACGCACGAGAGTGACGATCTTTTTTCAAATATGATATTTCATTGTCCAGTACTGTAATTAGCAAAGAAGTGGCCTAAATACCCACAAATGGAAATTAACTTTGGATAAATGCAAATTTGCATGCAATACTATTAGAGGCACAGTACTAATGAAGTAAATAAGATAATTGCACTTTCGAACTTGCCTTTCAGGCAATTCCTGCCGCTACCCAGGTCCATGTGGTTGCCAACCTTGCAGCAGTTCGGTAAGTTTTGAAGTTAATCTTAAAGTTAAGTAAGTTAATCTTTCCGAATACTTTCTCTAAAAGTAAAAATGAACAAGTTTTCAATATAAGTTTCCAGGAGCCAAAACCTTGTGTAAATTGTGGTCTAGCTCGTGGACAAAATCAATGCTGCGCTTGTTGTATGCCAGCTTGTAAACCGAGATGTGTTCGACGAGGAGGTAACTGAAAAAATGAACAAGATGAACAAGATGAACAATGCTATTTTCTTTTAAAAAAAGCAAATAAGCTAAATCGTTAGCTTTCGATTTCATTTCAAAACTCACAATATTTTAAGAATAGGGCTAAGCATAGGGCGTAATGCACCAATTGAACTACGGTTTCTTTCATAAGAAAGGCCAAAGAAAGAAAAAGACTTTCTGGATAGCCTAATGCTAAATGTCTAGTTTCATTTTCTTTCATTCACCACATAAGAACAGATTTACTAATTGAAAATTGATCTTTTATTATCTGTAGCTCATTAGCTACAGATCATAAAAGGAAAGTTTTACTTGTTTTCTTGTATATTTGTATATTAATCTGAACTGAATACTCTAATCTAGACTGAATACCCTAATCTAGACTAAATACCGTAACTAGCTATTCTACTGAATATCCTATTCTAGATTGAATACCGTAATCCAGACCATCTAGACTGAATACTCTAATCTGGACTGAATACCTTAATCTTTGATTTGTAAAACCATGACCTACAGTTATCATGATTGTAAGTGCAGTTAAGTGGAATGTAAAGTATCAAAGCCAAATTATCTCTCAACTTTTTCAGGTTGCAATTCTTGTCGCTTGGAAAACAATGACTATTACGATGACTACCAGTCGGGTCCTTATATTCCGTATCGATACGGAGTGAGTCGGAATCGTTTCTTTGGATTGACAACTGGTGGTTTTCCGATGTACGGCTGAAATTGAATTTAGATTTCAGAATTGAATTTGAATGAAGTGTGAATAAACCATAATAAAGTGTGAATAAACATTTTCTCATAATTTGTTTCACAAGAACAAAAATTCATTCAATTCTGTGGTTTCTTATTGTCTATTATCATTTAGAGTGTTTTTAAATCGTAAAAAAAGCCAAACTTTGGTCTTATCAAAAAAGAAAATCTACCCTAAAATTTGACACGACTTCTTAGAGAATGAGACTCGCCCATTTTCAGGCAAAAATGTGGGCAGTTTAAGGAAATTGATCGTAAAACACTGATAAGATTTTTGAGAAGGGTGCCGACAAATGGATCGAAGCACTTTGAATGTGTCAAACAGATCGAAGCACTTTGAATGTGCCAAATGGATCGAAGCATTTTGAATGTGCCAAATGAATCGAAGTACTTTGAATGTGCCAAACAGATCGAAGGACTTTGAATGTGCCAAACGGATCGAAGTACTTTGAATATGCCAAACCAAGCAAGCTTATGCAGGGCAAAAGCTTCAAAAATCCCTTTGGACAGTTGCTTTAAATGATAAAATTTGAAACAACTATTGTTTTAAATAAATTTTAGCCTATTGTTAATGTGGATTGTCGTTAGAGCAATTTCCAGATGATCTTTTCTCAGGCTGATAAGGGGATTAAGAAAACTGAAGAAACTCCAATTATTAGATCCGGTAAGAAAAGGTCAATTTTGAAGGTGGAATTATTTTTTCAAAGTTCTCTTTTTTAAAATGAATTCACGACTGCTTTGTTGCAGTTTATGAACTTTTTACTGTCGAAATTGACTGTCGAAAACGAAAACCGACAGTTTTTTTTGCTTTTTAACCAGATTTGAATGAGATTTTTAAGATTTGAATGAGATTTCTTTGCAGAAAGTAGTTAGCAACCTGGAAATTGAAAAGGGAATTGATAGGGAATTGAATTGAGCGTTTTTAAAACGATAACGATAACGGATAGTTCGTTCGGTCACGAAATTGGGTCCATAAACGTCAGTAATTACTCGATGAGCCTGTGCGGCATTGAGTTTTCGGTTGAATGCATACAAAAACAGGTGTCGCTGGTGCTCCTCCGATTCAACTTGACACGACATTCCTGAAAAAAAGCCTTCTAACAACATAAAAAAAATGATAAAACAAAAAAACGAGAAAAACGAAGGAAAATCGCGAAAAGCGGCGGAAAGGCTATTGATCTGAGGGTCGCTGGTTCGACTCCCACCGGTGACAATATTTTTCAAAAATTTGATGCTAAGATTCTGAAAATGCGTGTCTAGGGGTTATTTTTGACGCTGATCACGAAACACATGTTTTCAGCCTAGGTTTCTGCACGGAAAACTAACGAAACGTGAAAACAGCCATTTTTTGGCTCTGCCGCCTTTAACTAAAATAACTGTAAAAACTTTTAGAAAAGAGATATCTCAAAACAGTTTTTACCAATCGATCCGTCTTGAATTCAGCTTTAGGATGAGCTGTAAAACGTCAAAATTGGACAAATTTAAGGTACTCTTCCAAAAAATCGGAAAGGACTTTTCCACCAACCCAATAGATAAACGAGTCCGAGTTGAAGATGGGTAATCTTGAAACTACCGTAATTTTCCTTTATGTTTATGATTAACTTAATGGTCTAATTCTATACGGAGTCAAACTGTGAATTGAATGAGAGCAAAGTTAAGTAAAACGTTTAAATCGGAAAAGGGATAACAAAAGTTTGTTCAAACTGTCCGCTTTTACACTTATTTCTTGCAAGAAACGCACTCTATTTGTAATCAATATGAAAAAGATTGCCTTCTGTACCGAATATTCGACACCAAATTCAAATTTGAGATCTAAACAATCAATTGCCTTTGCTTTTGTCAAGTTTGGCCGACATCACGTCACTGCTTCCAAGTTGGGAGAGCCGTTACCAATTTTGTGCTAACTTTTCGTCTATTTCTTCTCCTATTTCTTCTTCGTCTATTTCTTCTTCTAAGTTCAAAAGCACGGCATTTCTAATTTTGCTAAGTTGGGAGTGCCGAATATTCCACCAAATTCAAATTTGGGATCTAAACAATCAATTACGTTTTGTATTGTCAAGTTTGGCCGACATCTCGTCACTGCTTTCAAGTTGGGAGGCCGTTACCTAAACCGTTATCTTTTGTGCTAACTTTTTGTCTATTTCTTCTCGTATTTCTTCTCCTATTTCTTCTTCGTCTATTTCTTCTTCGTCTATTTCTTCTTCTAAGTTCAAAAGCACGGCATTTCGAATGTTGCTAAGTTGGGATTGTGCCGAATATTCGACACCAAATTGAAATTTGGGATCTAAACAATCAACCACCTTTTGTATGGCCAATTTTCGTGTAGAGCATTTAGGCCGTTTATTGAATATCTTTAACGTTATTTAAGTGTTTGATAAGGCCAGAATTTTTGCCAGAACCTCTTTTTCTCATTCATTTAAAGAAGATACACTTCTTGTAAATCGAATAAAACTATTGTTTTCAAGTTGATTGGTCAGATTGCACATCAATTTGGGAAAAAGTTTGTCGATTTTGATCAGATATCACAATCAATTAAGGAGAAAGCAATTAAGGAGAAAGCATCTCCGCCCGGACAAAAGATTGCAAAGAAAACAGTCCTCGTACAAACCAATTTTATACAGTATACCTTTAACGGATAAGTGAAAGAATTCCCAGGCAAATCCGGTGACTGACTCTCATCACTATCTCTCCACTCTTCGCTGACTCGACCTAATCGTTTTTCTTTGATTTTCAACCCTATTGTTCTTTTTTAAACGCTCTACTTCCACACCATTCTTCTCTCTTTTTCGGCTTCTCTTTTTGCCGTCAAAATGATAACAACGAATTTTATTTGAATCCAGATAAGCGCAAAAAGGCGACGCCCTTTTCAATTGGATTTTCTTTGAATTTTTCAATTGGATTTTTCAATTGGATTTCTTTTTTGGGAGTTTTCTTAGAGTTCATTTATTTCTTTGAGTCCAGCTAATTGAATCAAGTTTAGCAAGATTATAGCCTGGGTTAACTATAAGCTAAAATGATTCTCCGATTTGGCTTGTTTCTTCTGGCTTTAGGTGGGTTTATTGTCTTGTTTAGAAACGCTGTCGAAATAAGAGAAATAAAAAAAAAACTTTTTAGTTTATTTGGCTACAGCAGCGCAAGATTGTTTATGTTACGGCAATCAAACCGCTGCCTCTATCTTCACTCCGACCAACCCACGAGATAATGAATATAATTCGTGCTATCCACCCGGTGGTGCCTGTCCTTATATTGCAGCAACGGGCAATTCAAGTCTCGTATTAGCCGTGGGTTCTACAATGTCAAATGAATTGTTTACTGAGAATCGTCACATTCATTTTTTGATCATTTCAGAACATTCAATTCAACACGTTTTCCTCCGCAAGCCAACCCAATGACTTGCAAATCATCATTATGGATGGCCCAACCATGGCTTTCGAGTGGGTTTTTGTTGCTGCGGTTATTGTGCATAAGAGTTGCATTCAATATCTTGAATAACTGCAGTTCTTTAAAATGTCGAACCCATCGCTTGACACAATAGGGAAATATTTTAGCCTGAGACCCGCTGATCTGAACAACCCCGACATCGTCAAAGCGTTGGCAAACTTCGTAAGCCAAACTTCGGAGCTTGACATTAGCATGAAATTTTATAATGGTGTAAAAGATGGTGGGTTTGGGTTTTATAATGATGCCAAACCCATGGAGCCTATTAAAATTATGGTTCAGGTATCATCAGTTTCTATTTCCGGCCGCAACTGAAAGTGACCATACCAACATTGCCACCGGTTTGATAAAAAAAATATTAAATTTGCAACCTTGAAAGTGGGTACACTTATTCATTGCATTTTTTAGAAATAACTAGTGCACCAATTAGTCTACAGTTTTAACCAATAAAAAGGCCCATTTATTCTCTAAAACAGGCTTTTGATAGATTTAGAAAAACTTCAGTTTTATAGGTTTCTAGGGGGCAAGAAGTTGAGGAGCCAAAAATGATGAACAATCAATGAAGCGATTTGAGCACTTTCTTCCACAGAAACCTATTTTGATGTTAATAGAAAAGATAGAGCATGAAAAGCTAGGTATCTAGCCGATTCCCTCAGCTAGATCTAATGAATCGTTTTTTTTATAGTTCAATTTGAAGAATTTCCAGAAAAACTTGAATTTCTGCTCAAATTCGTTTCAAAAGTTGCGCAAATTTGCTTAAGCATGGTTTAAATTAGATAATATATCTTTTATTTAGAGAAGTTTAATTCAATTGGCGTATTAAATATGTTTTATGGAATTTACGAAAAAGTGTACCAAATTTCAAGTTGCCAATGTAATAGAATTAGTAAAAAGTGTTTAGACGACCCCACCTCCAACTTTTGCAACTGTGAGTGGAGCTCCAAGTCAACCAGCTTTGATTGGAGCCGATATTGCCTTCGCTTATGTATCGGCTGGATCGGATCTATCGCTGTTCCAAAAGGTAAGCAAAGGAAATAGATTCAACTATTGCTATTGATTCTTTTCTAAAGCTGACGGAGTTTTAACTCAATTTTTATGTGGATGTAGTTAATAAAATTGGTCGAAAATAAGACATTTGACATGCTTATAACTTGAACTCACTGTCAAAACTTATAAAGACTCTAGTTTCGATGTTTTGATAGTTACACAACTTGTTTTTGATCGTTATCAAAACCTGATTATATACAGATGTCGGACGCAATTACTGCAACGGTAACGTCTTTGAATGTGGTCACGACAAACACGAGCCCAGCGGGAGTGCGACTTTCTTTCTGTGCGCCCTCGAAGACCAACAGCGCAAACACTTTTGGTGATCAATGGTTTTTGAAACTTCTAAGCGTATTAATACAAAGCAGCCTTTCAGGGATCTCGATCTGGACACGTTTAATAGCTTTGTGCAAGTTGTACCGAAAAAGATTGGTCTCGACAAATCGCTATGGGTCCCGTGAGTGCTTCGAATGTTTATAAGATACGATTAATAGACTAATAGTAGAGGTATGGAGCGGGAAAACCGAGAAAATTGTCGTATTTTTGATTTTCTCACATTTCTTAAATCAAAATTTTTATGAAGAAAATCATCAAAAATGGCAACGCGCCGGATAGAGGTCGACTAGTGCTCATTCAAGAACTTGTAAAGTGAGCTGTATTACTCCGATTGTGAAGTTTTTAGTAGATAAATATAGCCTAGATTAAGGGCTATAATTCTTTATATAGCACTTGATGCTTTGAAATAAAGCAAGCCTACGGAAACTATCTTTCGAAAAGTTGTCCGGATAATTTTGAGACCGAGACCCTATACAGTGCGTTTCAAATTCTTAAACGCACCCTCTAAAATAGCGAATTTTGCATTTTGAACACCGCTACAACTATTAATCTTTTTCTCTTAGAAAGAGTATGTCTTAAAACCTGAAAAACACGAAAAATAAGCATACTATAAAAAGTAAAAATTTTCAAAATAAAAACGTTTTCGTAAATCAACTGTTTCAAATTCTTAAACGCACTATAAAAATATTTTTATTTATCGATACAAATTAACAATCAAAGGTAAAAAATCAAAACTAATAATCTGTACACGCACCAGAACGATTAATTACTTGAAAAATGCGGTCTTGCATTGAATTGATGAGGCTTTGAAGAGCAGAGACGTCGAGATAGCTTCAGACCAAACGAATCGCTGTTTTAGGTACAAATATACGTCTTGAAAATGACGATGATTTTTGTAGGCAGCTTGGACAAGTATTCGGCATAAATTCCCTATTGGATTGACGTCAGGAGATCGAGCGGGTCAGTCCAAATTTGCAAGGTTGTTGTTGTTCAGCCAGTCTCGGATGTCTCCGGCTCGATGAATTGACGTGTTGTCGTATTGAAACAAAGCGGGAACGGTTGGATTTAGGAGCAAAACGGCCACAAGCAATTGTTCAAGATGTCTATCTAGTCATCCGATTCGAAACCATCTTCAGAGCGACCGTTCCATCAGCACAAAAGGCGGCCCAAATCATCACAGAAGCACCGACAAAGTTTCGAGTTCCAAACACCATCGGATCACGTCGAAGATCCCTCCAATAGTAGTCAACGCCATTGGGACCATCCCAATTCCATTTCTTCTCATCGGAAAAAACCACCTAAACGCAAAAAATATAATAAAACATAAGCGGCTTTCTAACCATAGACCAATCCTGATTCACATAAGCCTTGGCGAACGCCAATCGGGCTTTCTTGTGCAAAGGCTTCACGATCGATTGCATGTTCAATAATTGTCGATCGCTATGTGGGTTTTCCTTGATGGCTCGCCAAATTGTCGACTTCGAAGCGATTTTCGATGTTCCGTTCCGTTTTCACTTCATTGATCGTTTTTCCGTGGACGTTGTTCACAATATGGCGTCTAGCTCGCGGTGTAAGCTTTGGTTTTGGTCCTGGCTTCTTCTTTGGTGCAGAAACGAACTCGGACTTTATATAATTTCGCACGGCAGAGTCGGAACGGCCCAAATTTTTTTTGCGATTTTCCTTATTGAGTCGCTAATCCTCAAACGGGTATCAATCTGGCCTTTCTCATAATCCGTGAGCAGCTTTCCGTGTGCCATTTACCTGAAAATTAACAAAAATTATAAATTTAATAAAAAATATGCACAACAAAACGAAAAATTTCAAATAACAAAAGCAAAGGCGGGTGCGTTTAAGAATTTGAAACGCACCGTCTTAGAAGACCCCCGCCCTCCCTACGACTCCTCGAAATCTCGAAGTTTTTTTAACCATTTGCTTAGCTAAAGTTGTAGATATCAGCCCAAATAGAAGTAATTTTGTGTTGACAGTAAAATTAAAACGCGGTCTTTAAAATATTAGGTTGATGCATAAGTCTTTTCGTTTTTTTCGTACTTCTGTTAAAAAGTAACAAATTCACCAATTAATCTATATTTTGCTCTATAAAAAAAGTGTTTTTTTGTTCAATTTCCATCTTTTTAAATTAATTTCGGTTCACTTTCAAGCAAATTCGAGAGTGAAAAACGCCTTTTTCGTAAAAATCTATAAAAAACTCTACGGAAAAATTGGCTGAATGAATTTCTCTGAAATTTTGGCGAAATATCAAACTTTTTTTTCTCTATCTTTTATCTATTGACACGAAGATAGGTTTTCTTTAGCTAAGGTGTCTAAACCGCATCATCGAGTTAGCCCTTTTTGACTACCCGACTTCATACTCTCAAGAAAATCCAGGCATAAAATATTTTTAAACCCGTTTTAATGTTATTTTGCAGAAAAATAATTGGTTTTCTAATGAAATCAACCGTAGTTTAATTGGTGCATTTGTTGGCTTGAAACGGCAGACGAAAAGGAACAAAAACACTTATGCATCAACCTATTAATTGAAAAATAATTTTTTATGAAGGGGTAAGGGGGGACCACGTTCATTTTTTTTGGAGATCGTCCGAGGGTCTTGCTAACGCAAATATTTTCATTTTTAAACATGTTCTCTGCACGTCTTAGATCAAGGCCTATCAAATAGAATCGTTTTTAAGAAAAAATAAACTTTTGATTTATGTGGGGGACCGTTACCTACTTTTTTGGCTAATCGATTTTGGGAGGTTGGAAAATAGAAGACCCGGGTCTTCTACTAGAGTTTCTACGGTATTCATTTTAGTGCATTGGAGGCGTTTGTCGGTTCCGGTGGCTACTTTGATTCTTCTTCTGATCACCGTCCAAGAGAAAATGTGCAAAAAATTTTTGTCTTCTTTACCCAAAGCAGGTAAGGTTTCTTTGTGAAACGGAATAAAATATAGAAATAAGTGAAATAAAACTGTAAAAAATATAATACGGCTAATGAAGTGCTATTCTGGTTTTATGTTCTAAAAAAATTTATCTTAACTATTTAAGCCTTAAGCTTGCTTTTTAGGGGTTTAAAATATTGGGTTGGTGAATTGAAAACTGCCGGCTATTTCGCGGGACTTGCAGATAAAAAAACAACAGCATTGAACCAGCTGAAAGGGGTTTGGTTACTTCAACATTTCCTCGAATTATTGCGAAAAACTTATGCTTCCAGCTTTTTTATTTTTTGGTATTTTTCTTCACTTCTTCTATTGCACTCGACAATCTGCCACCGAGACATATTCGTCATGTCATGCTTCATGAGTTCCTACAAGAGCACAGTGCAGGCTTGGCAGCTGCTAATATTAAAAAGATATATGGGGGAGGAGTCACCTTCGGAAAGAACGTGTCGAGTATGGTTTGCCAAGTTTCGATCTGGGGACAAATCTTTAAAGGTGCAGAGGGCCGTGGAGCGGCACCCCAACTGAATGATTCCAAATTACTCGAACTCATCACCAACGACCATCGGGTATCATCGCGTGAATTGGGAGAAGAGTTAAGGGTGGATCGTGTTCCAGTGCTAAATCACCTTCATACCCTTAAATTAAGATTTAAATCGAAACTTGGGACTTGGGTGCCCCATGACCTCACTGACCCCCAGAAGCGGCAGCGCGCCTCCATCAGTGCCGCTCATCTCTCACGATACGAAAGGAAATCCTTTCTTCCTCAAATTGTGACAGGAGATGGGGAGTGGGTTTTATCTGTGAACTTTCGGAGCAAGCGGCAATGGGTGAGGCCAGGCGAGAAACCCAAAAGTGACCCCAAGCCCGAAGAAGTTTATGCTCTGCGTTTTTTGGGATATGGAGGGAGTGGTGTACTGGGAGTTGCTGGATAGCAAGACGACCCTTAATGCAATCAAATACAGTGAGCAGTTGGGAAAGGTTAATGAATCCCTGAAGAAGAATAGGCCCTCCAAGTCAAAGATCGTTCTCATCCACGACAACGCGCGCCCTCATGTTGCAAAACTGACTAGCTCTAAAATAAATAGCCTTGTTTGGGAACTTTTGGCGCATTCCCCATACAGTCCGGACCTCGCCCCTTTTGATTACTATTTGTTCCGGATCATGAGTAATGAGCTTGCGGGAGAACACTTCGATTCGGAAGAAGCAGTCAAAAATTGGCTCTAAAAGTTTTTCGATTCAAAACCAAAATCCTACCACGAAAGAGGAATCCGCAAATTGCCTGTAAAATAGGCAGAAGTCGTCAATAATCATGGAAATTATTTCGAATGAATTCATGGTTTTATTTTCAATAAATTCTAGTTCAAATTCCGCAGTCTTCAATTCACCAACCCAATAGAATTGGATATACAGGGTACGCAATAATTGTCGCAACAAGATAAAGACAAGATTTTAGCGCAGACAAGAGCAAAAAAAGACAAATTTTTAAGAATAAGAATAAGATTTATTATATATTAATAATTATAAATCAACTATTAAATTTGAATTGGCCACCATTAGCATTTGAGCAGGCTCGCAGGCGCAGGCTCACTCGCTTGATGCGTGTCTTTGTGACGATAGTTGGGCGTCTACCGCTTCTTGGTGCGTCAGCAATTATTTCCCTGGCTTCGTAGCGTTGATAGTGCGGAAAATGGCACTTCTGTCGACTTTAGGATGTTTATGCATCTCCAGCGCCGAGACTCCTCGCTTGTGCAATTCGATGATCAATTGTCGATAGGGATTTTTCCAGCTTTCCAGATTTCGATTCTAAAAAATAGCACATTTTATATGAAAAAAAGTTTGAATTATATTCCAAATATTAAAAAACAAAAAAAAACCCAGAAATGAAGCATAAATCAACGGGTTATTGTTCTTGAACGCGCGTGATACCTTGTTGCGACGATTATGGCGCACTCCGTATAATTCGTATCAAATATAAAAACCGCTTTTTGTATTATTTATATCTGCACACTTTAAGTCCATCGGAAGACGCAGACACATTAAAACCGTTGCTTTCAAAATTGGCAGAATTGGACGTTCACATGGTTGTGGTCGATGTTCGACCAGGACCAGATACTTACTTTAATGGGCTTCTCGATAATGATTCAGGGGTTTGCTTAGTCAATTTAGTTAAGCTACTCGATTGCAGGTCAAAAATTTTGCCTATATGAACCTGGCAGCGAATAACGGTTTCCTTTTCGATTACGTTCTGCAGAGTGACAAAGGTAATTTATATTTATGAAAAAGAAAATTCTTTGAACTTAGATCCCAAATATGGTTGCACATATGATCAGGCCAAGACAAGCTTTAACATCACTGAAACGCCGCTGACTTTATCTTGGCCACAGTATCTTATAATCCTGCTCATTTAATTAAATCCCGTTTTTTAGAGCCTTTGGTGGCGACACCCAATACTGCAACAATCAAGAGACCATTTTGAATCTTGAAAGTAAAGTGGTGGTGTTTTCAAAAATAATAAATAAAACCAACAAGATAGACCAAAAGTTTTAAGTCAATCTAGTGTCTTTTAGCAATTAAGTTAATATAACATATAGTTAGAATCAAAATTTCTAGCCACGGCTCTTTTGCTTTTGCTCTTTTGCTAAATTTTTAGAAACATAATAGAATTTTATGCTTTTAGCCCAACACAATGAATCTATGTGTTTCCGTGCCTTCGTATTACCTTGAAACCGAAAGGGACTACTTGAGATTCTACGCTGGCGGAATGGAAATTGCCAGGTAATCCTTTAAAGCAAAAGTTATTCTGAAATCAAAGAAAATCAATCAAAAATGACTCTTCGAAGATAATTTTGCTCTTTATTTTAGTTTCACCGGACTTGACGTGGTTGGATCAAAATTCCTGATTCCCGGCAATCAAACAACAGTCACTTTCTATACCAACGAAAACACGATTTACGAAGGAGTTCAATTCGAAATTACGGCTACCACGGAGGCAGCATGTCCATAAGCAGTACCTTATGTTTTGTCATTTCTTGCAACAATAAAGACAAAAAATGTTACAGCGTTATTGGCTTTAAATACAATAAAGAGAAAAATCATTTATTCGAATCTAATAATCGTTGTGAGATCTTTGCATTACACTGAGGGCACACGTGACGAGTGGAGAATGGAGGACAACAAGCCCATTGGATTTCGGTGATCACACGTGTCTGGAATTCGATTTTGATTTGAATTAGGCTTTGAAAGATTTTGATTTGAATTAGGTTTTGAAAGCTTTGAAAAATACTTTACAATAGCCTTACAGCTTTACAAAGATCTCCTACAAATTAATGCTTTGAAAGTGTTGCTTTTTTTCTCACCTACCTTACACGTTGGGCAGATCACTTGAGCGGGTTGTCGTCCTAATCGGGGAGGCGGAGAGCTGGATCCCCTTCTCAGTCCAGCCTTTGGTTCATCAGATATCACCGGAGAAGACATTGTTTTCTCATCTGAAAATAAATGAAAATGAATGAAATTATCTTGTAAGTTGATTACGAACAAATCGAAAACAAAGATTGTACATGATCTTCAGCTAGTTAACATAGTATTGTTCTAGGTTGTTTGCGATTGACTGTAATAGTTTAAAAACAAATAAAGTTTGTAGGTTGCGAACTTTGTAGGTAATTTGGTAATTTGAATAGGTAAAAATAGGTAAAAATAGGTAATTTGAATAGGGAACTTGGGGAATAGGTAATTTGAATAGGTAAAAATATGTAAAAATAGGTAATTTGAATAGGGAATTTGGGTAATAGGTAATTCGAATCGAATAAACTTGTTCTTTTGTTGAAGCTCTAACCCAGTAGTACCAAAAGTTGAACTTTCAATAAGTTCATTTTCGCAATCGTACATTTTCTCGTTTCTGTAAGAAAGAATAAGCTTTGGATACGCTTTAAATAGCTTTGAATAGCTTTGAATACGCCAGAAGCGGTGTGTTTAAGTACAAAATACACTCAAAGTAGAGTAAAAGTTTAATTTGACACAATAATAATAAACTCTATGTCAAAAATTGTTTACAAGATGTTGAAAACCAAAAAATGTGATCTCTTTTAAATCTTCTGAAATTCTTCATTTCTTCAATCTTATCTGAAATCATTCTAGGATTCTTTGTTTGCAAGAAAAAGAAGAAAATCGATGATAACGGGAAAAAAATGTTTGAAGAATTGGAATTGGGTTTTTGAGTTTAAAATTGGTATTTGAATGTTGTTCAAAAATGGAAAAGCTCTCATTTATTGACGTTTTTATTTTGACAATATAGTGATGGGAATTAAAGGAGAGATTTGAAAACAGATTTGAAAGGGAATTTCAAAGGGAACCCTTTCAAATTTTGATTAAAAGAATGAAAATCTTGAAATTTCAATTTTAATTTATAATTTAAACATGAAAAGGCTTTGCTTTTAAATGTAGAGCTGATGCAGCTGATGTGAGGGTAAAGCGATTCCTTTCAGTGAAGATATTGCTTTTCTACTCTCATATTTTACAACATCTAATATTGCGTAAGTCTATTCAGCGAAGAGATGACTCACTAAAAATTTGTGAATTTTAAACTAAACCTTTCCCAAAATCGATAACTGTACGGTATCAGACGGTATTCTCTCGAATAGTAGTGCACCCCGCGAGCCAAGTTGATGCCTATTTTACGGTTTCAAGTTTTCCCAGAAGCTCAACACCCTAATCCCCTGCAAGATCTCATGCAGCTACATTTTCCGACCCCACATCGATAGGTTCTGATAAGCGGCCGAGATTTCTACACAATGGGCAGCTGTGCCAAGTTCAGCGGAGTCGAGACGCCTTACCACACATAAGGACGCGACGACCATTAGACCCGGTTGCAACAATGGTAAATGCTTTCATTAGCTGATTAGGCTCTATCCAACAAAACTGTTTAACTAGGATAGGTCTCGTTTTGAATTCATCTTAAGTTTGGCGACTTTCCCTAGAGGTATAGGCCAGGTCGGTGAATACCGTATTTTCTCGAATAATAGTGCACCCCGGCGAGTCGAGTGGATGACGATTTTATGGTTTCCAAGCTTTTGCAGAAGCTCAACACTCTAATCCCCTGCAAGATCTCATCGACAGCTACATTTTCCGACCCCACATCGATAGGTTCTGATAAGCGCTTTTCGAGATTTCGAGGAATTGAGGCGATGCTCATGGTGCACTACTATTAGAGAAAATACGGTATAGAGTATTTTGCATAAACGACTTAGGATTTTTGATGAATTTTTTAAAATAATAACAAATTTGAGCTTTTATGAAATCAGAAATGAAATGCAAATCCGAAACCGAATGAAACAAAGTCATTAAACTTTTGATTCGCTTGTGCAACAAGAAAAGACATGGATGTAGTTGAAAGAAATTTAAAATTACCAAATACACAAGAAGAACAGATAAGTTTAAATTTGAAACCAAAACTAAACAAAAGCTTTAGCATATTTGATTAAACAAGCCAAACAAGCTGATAATATTTTGGTAAGAAATTTCGGCTCTTTCCCTGAATTGTGGTCTTTTGAAAGTTTCGTGGTCTTTCAAAAGTTTTATAGTCTTTTGCCAAAAAAAGTTAGTTTCGTTGTCTTTTGCAAATTTTTGTGAAGCGAACCTTCACATACAGCCAAGACAGACATTTGCAAAAGACCACGAAACTGTCTTCTTTTGATAAAAAACCACGAAACTTTTAATAGACAACGATTCTGGGAAAGAGCCGAGATCTTACCAAAACATACAGCTTGTTTGGCTATTTGATCAAATATGCTAAAGCTTGTTTAGTTTTGGTTTAAAATTAAACATCTGTTCTTCTTGTGTATTTGGTAATTTTAGAAGGAAGAGCCGAAATCTGATTTTTAAAAAGCCAGTCAAAAAGCTGCCAACCAGCGTAAGTTTTTTCACCGAAGAGCTGGCTTTCAAATTCAAATTCAAAAGCCGATCATTTTAAACACTTTTCCCAAACTTTTCAGATAGTATTTTGCATAAACGACTTAGTATTGAATGTTTAGTGAAAGATTTGATTTTTTATAAAATCTAGAATGAAATCGAAATCTGCAATTGCATGAGAAAAAAAGCCAGTAATCTTTTGATTCACTATGAGTCAACGAGCATTAGTTGAATTACTGAACACAAAAAAAGAGCAGATAAGATTTTAGAAGTTTTAAACCCAAAACAAAAACAAAAACAAAAAGATTCATTGTATTAGGTTGGTGCAAAGAAATTTCGGTCGATATAAAATGTTCTTATTTTTTTAATCTGAAGAGCTTATTTGATGTTCTTTGTGCATTTGTACTCTTGGATATTTACTTTATTTTCGCATTTTTCAAAGTCAGAGCTTTCACTTTTAATTGATTTTTGCTTTAGATCATGGTGGATCAAAAGTATGTTCTGCGCACGTGTCTTCTCTATGACTTCAAAATGGGCAAAAACGCTGCTGATTCACATCGTGAATCCGCCTTTGGAGAACAGGTTATCACCGAAAGATCATGCCAGCTCTGGTTTGCCCAATTCCGAGATGGTAATGAATCCCTTGAAGACGAATCGCATGGACATCGTGCCACAGCCATCGACAACAATGAATTGAAGCTGATCCAATGCAAACAACACGAGAACTTGCCAAACATCTCCAATTCAACAATTGTACGCCATTTGGAAATAATTGGAAAGACAAATCGTAATGGACAATGGGTTCCACATCAATTGAGTGTTGAGAATCTGGGAGCACGCGTTCCGATCAGCCATATCTTTTTGAGAATATCTTGACGATGGATGAGAAGTGGATTCACTTTGATAATACTTCTCGAAAAAGGCAATGGCTGAGCAAAGGTCAAGCGCCAATTCCAACTCCAAGGCCGGATTATCATGGGCGCAAAGTGATGTTGTCTTGCTGGTGGAATATCAATGAACTTGTTCATTTTGAATTATTAGGAGCCCGGAAAAACAGTCGATTCATCTTATTTTATTCAACAACTCAAGAAGGTTGACGAAATTTTGCGTGAAAAAGGCCTAAATCCCTCAACTATCAACTTTCTCCGTGATAATGCTCCAGCTCACACGGCAAAAACCTCTTGTAAGGAACTAGAGAAGCTAGGATGGAAGGTCTTACCACATGCGCCGTATAGTCCAGACTTAGCACCCTCCGATTTTCACCTTTTCAGATCGATGCAACATTCCCTTGAGAATTGCCAGTTTAAGAATGCAAAGAAGTCGAAAATTGGGTGACCAACTACTTTGCATCACAGAATCAAGCGTTCTTTGAGAAAGGGATCCGCAATCTGTAGCAACGTTGGAGGGATGTCATAGATAATAATGGTGCTTATTGTTTTAAATAAATTGTTATCTAAAAAATTTTGGATGACTTTAATGTTTGTAAAAAAACGAAATTTCATTTGCACCAACCTAGTATTTGTCGTATAAAGTAAGCAAATCTTTGTAGTATTTTAGCAATCAATTTAATTTTAAAAAGCCAATCAAAGAAAAAGTTGTTAAGTTGGTTAGAAACCGAGAAAAGATTGTAAAGATTTGAAAAAACAAGTTGTTTTCTTAGCAAAAGTGAACCCACAAGTGAGTTTGTTTGTGATTGTGGCATGGAAAGCAAAAAAAAATGGTTGAGAGAAAGTGCGTGAGTGGAGGATTTTGTGCGTTTGGAAAGGAGATGAGAGAGGGGAAAGGGGGATTCGTGGGGGAATAGAGGGCACACAAATCGATTATTCACTTTTCACTCATTCTAAAACTTGAAAACTTTATCAATTTCAATAAAGTTAACATTTAAAAATCCATAAATTTAGAAATCCATCTTTTAGAATTGGATTTATGTTTTCTAAACATAGATAAGTGGATTTAAAATAGGTTCGCACAAATTTAAAAGGTTTTTGTCCTTTATACCAGTGAGAGTGTAATAATAACCAAATCGGCTTGAAGAACTAACAAAATCTGAAATTATACTACTTTTTAGTTTAGATAAATAGAATAATGAGATGTTTATAAAGCTTTGCCACGTGTGAAAGTGCCACATGAAGGACTAAATGAAAACATTCAACAGTACTGAAATTTTAAAAGAGAATCTCTTTAGATTTTATTAGGTACATGCAGAAGAAATGCGGATTTCAACTTTTTCATAAATTTCCAACGATAGAAATCTGATATCGATCTGACATCTAATTTATAGTTATAAACTATTTGAAAGTTGTAAATCTCCCTCTACAAAATAGGCTAAAACGTGTTTCAATTGATCGAACCATTGAAGAAATTTCGAGCGATTGAAGAGGGCGAAATGCGAGTGGCCAAAAAAGGAATCGAGTCACTTTAGGGGACAAGTTTAGTGTCGTCAAAATAGAGCTAGCTTCCCAAAATGGAAGATTTAAAAAAAAAGGATAACTATATAGCAATTCATTAAAAAAGTCTAATGGAAATGCATTTACAGAAAAATTTACAGAAATTTAGATAGAGTAAAGTTCAAAACCCTTAAAATTGTCAAAAAACCGGCTTTTTCACAAGAAAGAAAAATTATTGTAAAAACAAAGTTTTCCCATGAAATGATCCCAACTCTTAATTATTTTGAATGATATTTTTAGGATAATGATTTTAGGGCGGTCATTCTCCCCTATATAGTCAAAACCGAACTCTTGTGAAAGTGGGGTTTTCAAAAAGTGCGCTGTTTTGGTCGCTCGCATTTCGCCCTCGAAATTTCTTCAATGGTTCGATCAATTGAAACACGCTTTAGCCTATTTTGTAGAGGAGATTTACAACTTTCAAATAGTTTATAACATTCATCGATATCAGGTTTCTATCATTGGAAATTTATGAAAATGTTGAAATCCGCATTTCTGATACATGTACCTAATAGATTATTAAACTTATAGAAATTAAAAGAATTAATAAAATTTACAGAATTTATAGAGTAAAGAAGTGTAATTTTTGAACGAAAATGAATTTTGAATCAATTGAGGATTTGAATGCAGCCCTGTGAGAGTGGTTATAGTGGAGTATAGTGGATCAGATGCGCCTTTCCGCCCATTGGTTAGTGGGGGAAATTTTCCCCTTTCCAAATAACAAAATTCGTTCAAAAAATTCACGACAATATTTTCGCAGCTGATCGCCCACATCATAGAGCTGAAATGGAATGAAATGGAATGAAATGTTGATGTGGGGAAAGAGAAAAGAAAACAAAAATCCCTGACTAATCTCGTATCTTGTGCACCCTTTATGATCAGAATCGTGATAGCTGAATGATTATTAAAATATGTTTTTGACTAATCGTGGAAATAGAAATCGGTATAGATTTGATTATAGATATCGGTATAGATAAATCTGATATGAATATTTCTGATTGACTCAAAATCTGTGAAACTTTCAATAAAGCATTACCAACTTGGTTCATGGATGAACCAAGTTGGTAATGCTGTTGTAATGAACAGCAAGTTGTGTAAGTTCAATTTTAATGAACCAAGTTGTTGTAACTGTTCCTTATTTTGTACTATTACTCAAAAAGAACAAATTCTATTATCCTAATCAATAGTAAAATTAAAATAGTATGCAAAAAAATGATAGTTCAATCTTTTTGAAGAGAAAAATCAAAGCTCTGCGACAAAAATGAAGGCCAAAAAACGATTAATGACCAAAAAATTGCCCCTTTTCCCAGCCAAATCGATTTCTCGTGTTGGATTTGAATCTTAATTGGATTGAATTGAAAAGAATTGCTTCAACAAAAAGAAAAAAGTTAAACGAACGAGATTTGAGTCTTTAAAAATCATTTCATAATAGATAATTGTAGGTAAACGAACAACCATTGGCAACTAGCCATGAAGGAAAATCTTCGACAATGCCTCAAATTCGGCTCCTATTTTGCCATTGGCATCAGTCATTGACATTCGTTAAGGTGTCAAGTCAAGTGAATTTGTCTGCGAAAACAAACAAATCTAGACTCAAAGATGAGAAATTCTATAAACAAGGATGATTTTGTTCGTTTAGTTCGGTGTGAGACTGGCTTTAACCTTATCAAAAGGGATGATTTTGTTTCTGAATAACCGAGTAGCACAAAAGCCAAGTAGCCGAGTAGTCGAGTAGCACAAAAGGTTAAACGAGTTTCCCCCAAAACGCTCACAATGCATTGCTTAATCAATGAGCCACAACAAACAATATACTTGACCGAAATGGTCCATATTCTTGACCGAAATATGGTGCTCAACTCAACTCGATCGGAATTTCCGGTTGAGTTGAGTTGAGTCTAGAGCAGTCCAAAACAAGAAGATCAACTTCAAGATACAAATGTTGAGTCTTGTTTAAATTGAAGTAGCCAAGGTACAGCAAGCTTGGATTATAATAAGCTAGATAATAATAATAATAATAATAATAAACTTTATAGTTCCTTTATAGTTCCTTTATGGTTCCTTTAAAGCTCTTTTTATAGCTCCTTTATAATTCCTTTATAGTTCCTTTATAATTCCTTTATAGTTCCTTTGTGGTTCCTTTATAGTTCCTTTATACAGTTCCTTTTATACGATCATCTTTTCGCTCGATCCTCCTCTTGATGATCCCACGCATCTTTCGGGTGTTAACGGTCCTCTTTCGTCCTCTTTCGGGCTTGGACTGAACATACCCCTCATCTTTCCATTGCTTTACGATCTTCTGGACGGTCCTCAGAGCCACCCCAAGCCTCGATGCGATCGACGAGTTCTTCATGCCGCTTGTCGCCAGCTGTGCGATTGCGTCCCGACTAGCGCACGTCTTTGTCATGACCTAGAAAACAACTTTTTTTAACAAAAATTAATAGACAACGATAAAAAAGAATATTAAAACATAAAAAGATGAGTAGTAATGCTTTATACATTGTTTAAAGCTATGATGCTGATGCTGCGCGCACGTAATTTTCAGCCACCCTGTAGTTCCTATTTAGTTCCTTTATAGTTCCTATTTAGTTCCTTTATAGTTCCTTTATAATTCCTTGAACCAAAAAAACGGTACGGTAATTATAAGTTTCGGAATTCATCTAAAAGTTTAGACAATCAAAAACCGAGTTCTAATTGATAGTTGCAATCGATCAAATGCATAGTTCTAGTACAATCTAGAACCGTTGATAAGGAAGATTGGAAGGTCAAATTCCTTATTTTGGTTGTTCTTTGCTGTTTTGTTGCATTAAAACTTCAATTCAGCTCTTTTTCCGCATTTTTTGACTCTTTGTAACCCATCCAACAGATCTTTTATGTAGCAGATCTTTTAAATTTCACAAAATGTTTTCCTTTCAATAATGAAATCTGTTTCCCTTAAAGATAACAACAACAAAAACCCTTTGCATAAGCTCACCTCCAGCATAAGGTTTACGCTCGTGTTACGAGTATACAATGGATTGACGCTTCGTCGATGACAACACAAATGTTAGTAAATTCTTTCTATAATGTTAGACTATCTAAAATCTAACTACCATCTATCCTAATCTAACCAGCTACTGTAAATACTGTAATAGTACCCCACCGCACACCCGCGCGAAATAAGGCGAAAAATCGTTTTCTATCCGTTTTCCATGTTTGAATAGCCATTCAACGCAGAAACATGTGCTGATTTCAATGGTGAAAAAATTATCAAAATCCGTCCGATACATTTTGTAAAAATCGCGTTTTATCGAAAAAATCGCACTTTTTACAAGCAACGCTCGCAGCGACCAACTTTCGGTGGCTCGTTTTCAGCGTGGTCGAAAGGTTGCGCCCTCAAAACCGATAACTTTTGTGTGGACGTTTATAAAGATCATTTTGATACCAAAAAAATAAAAATTGATCAACTCTGCGAAGACTTGATGCCTTTTAAGTTGAAAATGACGTTTTTGAAAAAATAGCTGAAATTCAGGGCTATTTTTTGATACCTAAGCGCGCATTGTAACATAAACCAGTGTCGAGAAAAACTCGTTCAAAGCTAGACTACGCAACACTCCGCACCGTCATTATGGGGGTGGGGTACTATTACAGTATTTACGGTATCTAAAAGCAGGATTTAAAACCTTAAGAGTAGCGTAAAGTAAGTTGGATTTATAATTTCACGATTGATTAGTAGAGAAACAAAAATGCAACGATAGCCATTACAAAAAAAAAGCATGCGCATGAATAGAAACAAACATGAACAACAAACAAAGAAACATGATCAAAAAGCATGAATAGAAACATCAAATCCCGAAAGAACAAAAGCGCATGCCCAAACCAAAAAGTGCCAGTAGCAACACAAAAAATTCTGTCGAAAAACCGAAAAACCAATTTGGGGAAAAGAATGAGACGAAAATGCGACGCAAATTAAATGCAAATAGGAACGCAAATAGGAAGGGAACGGACGCGACCATTTTTGTTTAGCATTTGTTTATTGATAAATTTGCTATGTGTAGTAGTGAGCTTGTTACATTTTAAGTGAACTTTGAAGGGCGTTTTATTTGAAATTATCATTATTGATTTGATTTGATCAAATAGATCTAATAGAATGAATCAAATAGATCAATAAACGCTGCTGGAAAGCGTTTTTCTGAGCTGTAATCAACCCAACTCAAGGTGATCCTAGAGTCTCTAGAGAACCGTTTTACATCGTAGTTTACTGTACAGTTGAATCTCTTTATAACAAATTTCTGCATAACAATCTACGTATCACAAATATCGTAGACAATGACTTAAAGATGATTCTGTTCATTTTTATATAATGAGTGCTCATTGGTGCCGTCAATATTGAGAATCATGTCATGATAGGCTCTCAATGTAAGTTGATGTCCTGTGGAGATGTAGGAGATTTTTGCCTAAATACGGGATTGATTTATTGGTTGTAAAACTGAATTCCCTGAGCTTTTGCGGGGGTTTTTTTAAAAGACTTTAAAGGGTTTAAAGACTTATGAATCAAAACTACACCTAAAAATATTCGGTTTGGAGTTTTAAGAAGTGGAATAATTGAGATTATTGGAAATACAAAGCTTCTTGGTGGCTTTGTGACAAAAACAAAGCACAGATTTTTGAAGAATGAGAGATTCTTCAAGAATTGACTAGCAGAATGAATTGACAGAATTGACTGCAGAATTGACTTCTTTCAAAAACAGAACCTATTAGGCTATCCAGAAAATCTTTTCGTTTCTTTTTGGACTTCTGTTTTAACCCAACAAATCCAATCCATTAAACTACGGTTTATTTCATTAGAAAGGTCAATTATTTTTTTGCAAAATCATATTAAAACGGGTTTAAAAAGTCAAATTCAAACTCTTCCTCACATATTTCTGTTTCTAGACAAAAATCGAAAAGATTTTAAGATGAATTAGGTGGATCCAGGAGCGCATTGACTTCTTTTTCGCAAATTTGGGGACTATTATTAGAGTCATCACTAGTTTCACTAGTTCACTAGTTTTTCGTTGGCCCTGGGGGGCTATTATTGGAGAAGAGCCACTATTACAGCTATTATTGGAGAAGAGCTACTATTACAGCTTTTACGGTCATTGGTGTATTTGTTATTTTTCACCCGAAGTATCAAATGAAATGAAAAGACTTTCTGGACAGTCTAATACATTTTTTCGACATTTTATAATGTCTTCAACGTTATAATCTCTTTAACGTTATAATGTCAATAAACCTTTAACATTTCTCTTACCTCTTTCAACAATTCATAAACCGTTTTTTCCATTGCCACCGGTAAACTATTGGTGGCCTCATCGAGGAAAACCAGTGATGGTTGTGAGATGAGAACTCGGCAGATCGATAATCGTTGAGCCTCGCCGGGTGTTAGCCGCTCGGACCTAGTTATTTAGATATTTTTAAGTTCGTCGCACAAACAGTGCATTACTTGCGACTATTATTTGTGCAATATATATGTCGTAGCCGATTATGAATGAAATTTTTTGGCAAATCTTTCTAGTAGAGCAACCCTTTAATGTAGAGGACAATATTATATCATTTTGTAGCGAATTCAATTCTGCGTCGATTGTTACAAAATTTGTGAGTTTAGGTTAAAAATTGCACAACGTTTCATTCAAAATCGGCGGGATCCCCGTAGCCGATTATGAATGAGTGGGAGCCTCCAACCATCCAGGAGAGCCTCCAATCATCTAGGAGCGTTCAACCATCAAGTATTTAGTATCATTCAACGCAGAATCATTGATAATTATGTTAAATTTTTTAAATTAGTAAGATTTGATAGAAAGAAAAAAAAATTAGAGCAAAAAAACTGTTTGTTCAAGAGAAAACTTTGAAGCCCCATAATTTTTTTTTCCTTTTAACCAATCTTTCTAATTTAAAAAATTTAACATAATTATTAATGATTCTGCGTTGAATGATACCAAATACTTGATGCTTGGACGCTCCTAGACCCACTCATTCATAATCGGCTACGACATATATTTCGTTCACTCGAGAAGTTCTATTTTTTAAGTTCTAGCTTTACAAGGGATGGTCATCAGAGCAGACAAGGGATGACCAACAGACCCAGCTCACCAAACGAAATGAGCCACACAACATCCGACGCAGAATTTTACGCTGATTCCAAATCTCTAATTCATTCTCGCGAAATGATTCTGAATCGCGCGCAATTTGGTAAACAAGTTTTTGGCCTCTCTTTTGGCTTCGCTTTATAAAGCTTACGCCCGAAGGTAAACATGGCTGTCTGTTGTAGTGGATAGTGGATTAGGATACGGAGTAGCTACTCGAAGGTTCGGATCCGCTCACTTTCTTTTTGTAAACACTTTTTATCTACATTTATCTACATTCAACTACATGAATTCATGAATTTCTAATGAATTCATTCTCGGGGCGAATTAGATAGATAAAAGTGAGTGATACTAGATAAGATTCACTGAACTTTTTGAGCTAATGTGTTCATGCTAAATGTCTTGCTTGGGTAAAGTGTCTATGTCTAAAGTGTCTATGTCTAAAGCGCCTATGTCTAAAGTGTCTATGTCTAAAGTGTCTATGTCTAAAGTGTCTATGTCTAAAGTGCCTATGTTTTAAGTAGAGTAATGATTTGAAAGCCTACCATTCAAATTCCACCTCTCCATCAAAACCACCAGCCATTGAGATCAAATGCGACAAGGAAAGTGACGCGAGAACTGCTTGCAATTTGGAATCTTCGACGATTGAGGCAACTCTGTAAATACTTGAAGTTCTATTACAGAAAATCTAGATAATTTATTGGGTACATGCATAAGAAATGCGGATTTCAACATTTTCATAAATTTCCAACGATAGAAACCTGATATCGATGAATGTTATAAACTATTTGAAAGTTGTAAATCTCCTCTACAAAATAGGCTAAAACGTGTTTCAATTGATCAAACCATTGAAGAAATTTCGAGGGCGAAATGTGAGTGATCAAAACAGCGCACTTTTTGAAAAACCTCACTTTCACAAGAGTTCGGTTTTGACTATGTAGTGGAAAATGACAGCCCTAAAATCATTATCCTAAAAATATCATTCAAAATAATTTAGAGTTGGGATCATTTCATGGGAAAACTTTGTTTTTACAATAATTTTTCTTTTTTGTGAAAAAGCCGGTTTTTTGATGATTTTGAGGGTTTTGAACTTACGCTCTTTCTAAATTTCTGTAAAGGCATTTCCATTAGACTTTTTTAATGAATTGATATATAGTTATCCTTTTCTTTTAAATCTTCAATTTTGGGAAGCTAACTCTACTTTGACCAGACTAAACTTGTCCCTAAAGTGACTCGATTCCTTTTTTGGTCACTCGCATTTCGCCCTCAAAATTTCTTCAATGTTTCGATCAATTGAAACACGTTTTAGCCTATTTTGTAGAGGAGATTTACAACTTTCCAATAGTTTATAACATTCATCGATATCAGGTTTCTATCGTTGGAAATTTATGAAAATGTTGAAATCCGCATTTCTGCTGCATGTATTGGGTTGGTGAATTGAAAACTGCGGGCTATTGTCATATGTGACAGTTTGAGCACTTTCTTCAAAAGAAACCCATTTTGGTGTCAATGGAAAAGTTGTAGAGAATCAAAAATTAAGCTTAGATCCAAATTTTCTGAACGATTCAAAACTGGTTTTCAAGAAATGCCAAATTTACGAATTTTCACAAAACTTGCAACAAAACTTGTATTTTAAGCGAAACTACTAAGTGTATCTTTTGGAAATTTGGCTATAAGCCTGATTTTTGATCCTCTACAACTTTTCTATTGACACCAAAATGGGTTTCTTTTGAAGAAAGTGCTCAAACTGGGCTGACGGCTGACATCTCCGGTCCTCCATTTTTGAGTCTCACACTTGTCTCACACACAAACCAAAATCCTACTACGAAAGAGGAATCCGCAAATTGCCTGTAAAATGGGCAGAAGTCGTCAATAATAATGAAAATTATTTGGAATGAATTGATGGTTTTATGTTGAATAAATTTTAGTTCAAAGTCCGGCAGTTTTCAATTCACGAACCCAATACCGAATAGATTGAATTTATTTAGATTTAAGATTTATATTTAGTATTTAGCTAATAATAATTTAGAATTTGAATAAAAAATACGGCAATTTTTGAAATGCTTACCGTTTATCGCCAAGATTCGGGAACAGTAACTGCTGTCGAAGTGAGACATTTCCACTCGGCAAATAAGGTCTTTGTGGTAAAAACATTATATAACCATTTCTTTCCGGGAGTTGAATCTTTCCTGAATTGAGAAATTAAATTCAGCTTTGATTCTGTATTCAAAGTACCTGAATTTTTATGCCAAAGTTTAGCCAAAACTCTGAATAAAGACGATTTTCCAATCCCACTTGGTCCAGTGATCAGTAAAGAGGTTCTTGGTTCGAGCGCAAGGCTTAAATCTATAAAACTTATTCAATAGATCAATAGATTCATAATTCAATAGATCTAATCTATTCACCTTTCACTAGCAATTCATTTGAATTCGGTGGCGCATAGGAGAGTTTTTCCAAAGTGAGCCCATCTTTTGGCTTATCGTTTGGTTGCTGTGAGTTCTCGAAGCAATTGGCTTTGAGAGACGCATCTTTGGTGAAATCGACCAAGTCAGCAATCCTGAAAGAAAGAAAAATACAAGTTTTTCTCAAACAACTTGACTTTATCAGCGTTTTACTAATGCGTTTGAAAAGGTAATGTTTTTGGAATACTCAAAAAAACTAGTAACCCTTTCTTTGCTGCAATTGTCAACACTGTTTGTTGAGTGGTTTAGAGTAGTACAACGACTTATATACCAGCCCGCCTTATATACAAGCGCCGTCTTCTATACGAGCGCAGTCTTATATACGAGCGCCGCCTTATATACGACTCCTTCTAAAGATATTTCGCTAAAGATATATACAAGCTTTCGCCGCCGCCGCCTTATCTACGGCCTTCGCCGCCGCCGCCTTATATACGGTCTTTCACCGTCGCCGCCTTATATACGGCCTTCACCGTCGCCGCCTTATATACGGCCTTCACCGTCGCCGCCTTATATACGCCTCTCGCCGCCGCCGCCTTTCTTTTAAAGATCTTCCGCCGTTTAACTGAATTGGTGGCAAATTCCCTTCACATGTAAAGATATTCAATTTACTCGATGAGTAAAGAGGATTACTCGTTGTTGCTCGACCAAAAACGTCGATTAATCAAGTAAAAATTACTCATCCAGCTTTTACACGAGTAATCACTTACTCGCGAGGAACACACTCTACTTTTTAAGGCTATTATAGTGCTCCACTACACTAGGAAAAGTCTGTTAATAAAGCTCTTCGAAATCTGTTAATAAAGCTCTTCGAAATCTTTTAATAAAGCGCTTCGAAATCCGAAAGCTTATCCTGAAACGTCAGCCTTAGTTTGGATCATTCCCTCATTAGTTCTGAGCAATTTGACTGAAATCAGTCACGTAAAATCAGACCTACCTTTGCGAATAAACAGCCATCTCTCCAACACTACTCGCCAAGTCGGTCAACTTTGTGAAGCTATTGATTAGATACATGAAAACAAAGGAATTCTAAATATTCAGTAAATTTTCAGCAAATTTTGTTATCTTTTAAACGCACATTGCTCAGTTTCTCAGCAAATTTGCTGACATCTAGGTCATCATAGGAATGCATCCAAAAAATCGGGATCACTTGAATGGCATACGTTAAAACGCCACCAAAATAGGCGAAAAAGTTTTGGGAAACTGAAAGAGGCTATCGAATTTTGGAGTTCTGATTTTGAATTTACACATGACTGGCGCACGGAATGAGATGAAGAAGGCTTGATTTCTGAGTAGAATGTTGAAGATGCGATTGCATTCTCGGAGTTCAAAGAAGTCGGCCTTGTAGAAAGCGCTTCCTTCAGCGTTGTCCCGAACGGAGACATGTTTATATCTAAAGAAAAATGTTCTAGGTTGAATCGATAATCAACACCTATTTACGATCATTCGGATCGTAAATAGGTGTTGATTGTTATCATTTGCTAAAGTGTGTCCTTTTCTGTCTTGTCTTCTCCCATCGTAGTCTACTTATACACGACTTATATGCCAGCCCGCCTTATATACCAGCCCGCCTTATATACCAGCCCGCCTTATATACCAGCCCGCCTTATACACCAGCTCGCCTTATATACCAGCCCGCCTTATTTATGAACGCCGCCTTATATAAAGAAACATCTTCTGTGCTGAATCTACAATCAGCACCTATTTACGAGTTATCATTTGCTAGAGTGTGTCCTTTCTGTCTTGTCTCCTCCTACTGTAGTCGCGGTGACATTTCGGCTATATAAGGCGGCCTTTTCTTTAGTGGGAGCAAAAAACTTGGGACAAAACAAAAAACTCCCAAACTTGGGAGCAAATAATGGTTCGGTAGTCTAGCAGACTATCCACTAGACCACCGAAGCAGTTATTAAGCGTGTGAGGGCTACTAAGAAGTCCAAAATTTACATATCTCTTGTTTGCGAAGCTTTCTGTAAAACTAAAAACGGTCATGAGACTGGGACCGGGCTGGGTCATGGGTATGACCAGGTCATGAGACCAGGACGGACTGGGTCATGGGTATGACTGGGCCATGAGACCAGGACCGGGCCGGGTCATGGGTAGGACCGGGTCATGGGACCAGGACCGGGCTGGGTCATGGGTATGAGTTTTCGTCTGAATCTAATTTTCGGAGCTCGCCTTTCGGGTCCTCCCTCCAAGATCCCAGGATATTGCTATCAGGGACCGTTCCAAAAATCACTCTATAAGTGACACAGACTCTATAGGAGGGTCTCAAAATGGTCTCTATAAGATGGTCTCAAATCAAAATGCCAGCTTGACCTGGTGCTTTCCCTTGCCAGCTAACTTTAGGAAGGGAAATTTTACACAGAGCACAGTACACTAAAAGTACACCTGCGTAAGCATTTTTAGGTATGATAAGCTTTAGATTACGGTACAATTCAAGTAACTTTCAGTGGTTCTCAGTAAACTGCACCTAAAGCAACCCTCAGCTTTCTCGACTTTCCCGGCCCATTTCGTCAACGGTTGAATGATGACGAGGTTGACGATAGAGCTGATCAAAAAGTATCCATAAATAACCCCAACTCCAACTCCACCAGATCTAAAAAATCTGCATTTTTGCTTTTCTAAATGCATTGAACAAACGTGTGCCACGTTCTCCAAGTGTAATACCCAACAACGAACGGTGCTACAAGAAAATTCGAAAAACTTTCACCGCCAACAAGTTACAGAATTTTTCCACATCTTGTGAGACTCTTTGATCCCTGAATTTGAATTAAAGTTGTTATTTTTAGCTTTACAAACGGATTATCGATTCCTTCATTATCAACGGTGTTCAATTGAAAGCAGACATTGTTGGAAAAGTATCGATTGTGCAAGATTCGCGTGATGTTTCGACGAAAAGACAAGTAGAGAGCTGATGAAAAGAGACTCACCAAAGCGGTTAACTGAAAACATTGGGTTTTCAACAAGCTTTATCATTAAATTACATAGGATATCCTTACAACTATTGCAACTTTGCAATTAAATTTGTTCTAACTTTTTTGTTTTGAGATCAAGTTAAGTTTATGTGGAAGAAACTGTTCAAACGACGTAGCGGATTCGTCATTTTGACTGGTTGCGTTTAGGAGCTCATAAAATCTACAAAACAGAAGCTTTTGCAGCTTTTGTGGAGCTTTTGTAGCCATTTTGTAGAGCTTTTTGGAGCTATTGTAAAGCTTTTATAGCCATCTCAAAAGCCAAAACCACCAAAAGCCATGCAGAGCAATGATAGATATTTTTGATTACACAAACAATAGATTGCTTTTATACATTCCAGAAAAATCTTTGAAAGTCGACGCGTTTCACGGAGAATGGACGGTCAAAGTTAGACTAGGCGATTGTACGCTCATCATTATGGGGATGGCGTTCCTATTAGAGATAGATGCCTACTTTTTTATTAAATGTTTATCTTTTTGTTTATCTTCTTTGTTTTTCAATACCTGTCCGATTGAATAAAGTTTTTCTTTCTCAACCTTACCGCACATTGAGCCAAATACCACCAAGTGGCTTTCCAGAAAGTATGCCAAAATCCGTGCTCATCTTTCATCGACAAATACAAGTAGAACTTTCCGATCATCATTCCCGTGTCATAGTTGACTTTTTCATCTGAAAAAATGGTTGAGTAGCTAAAGATCTAAAGATGCTAACGATCTAAAGATGCTAACGATCTAAAGTTGCTAAAGATCTAAAGATGCTAACGATCTAAAGTTGCTAAAGATCTAAAGATGCTAAAGATCTAAAGATGCTAAAGATCTAAAGATCTAAAGTTGCTAAAGATCTAAAGATCTAAAGATGCTAAAGATCTAAAGATGCTAACGATCTAAAGATGCTAACGATCTAAAGTTGCTAAAGATCTAAAGATGCTAACGATCTAAAGTTGCTAAAGATCTAAAGATGCTAACGATCTAAAGTTGCTAAAGATCTAAAGATGCTAAAGATCTAAAGATGCTAAAGATCTAAAGATCTAAAGTTGCTAAAGATCTAAAGATGCTAAAGATCTAAAGATGCTAACGATCTAAAGATGCTAACGATCTAAAGTTGCTAAAGATCTAAAGATGCTAACGATCTAAAGTTGCTAAAGATCTAAAGATGCTAAAGATCTAAAGATGCTAAAGATCTAAAGATCTAAAGATGCTAAAGATCTAAAGATCTAAAGATGCTAAAGATCTAAAGATGCTAAAGATCTAAAGATGCTAACGATCTAAAGTTGCTAAAGATCTAAAGATGCTAAAGATCTAAAGATCTAAAGATGCTAAAGATCTAAAGATCTAAAGATGCTAAAGATCTAAAGATCTAAAAAGCTAAAGAGCTTTACTCACACCCTCCAGCGGCTGCTCCTGTCAATAGAGTAAAAATCACAGCCCATTCCAGTCCCGGATACAATAGTGGGAATAGTGTCTAGATTTTTAAGTTTTATTTTGTTATTTGCTGTTATTTTACTGCTATTTTGCTTTTATTACCTTCAGTGAACGAAAAAAGTCAAGCCCAAACCAGTAGCTCTTTTCGCGTTTTTCTTGAGGGATCATTCTAAATCAGATTAAAAATGCTTTAAAGTTGAACATCGAAAACTTGACAAGTCGGAAATTGAAATAAGAATTTGTACACTCTTTCCAATCAAGGAAAAGCTTTTCAAACCGTTTCGACTTTCACTTTTTAAGCTAGTTTTTGTTTAGAAGGATGTGAAACTTCTAGCCAAAATACAGCCAATTTAAGGCAAAGATTAATCCCAAAAGTTTCGACATGGTGACGCCCGAAAGGTAGAAAAGTACCGTGGCACCATCTCAATTTACGGATTAGGAAACCCTTTATACCCGAGATGTTTGTCAGATACCGGAGGGGTTTACCAGAGCCAGAAGGGAAGCCCTTTATACCGAGGAGTTTGCCAGAAGGCAAGCGATTACGTGGCTACACAAAGAACATCTCGCCAGTCTTTACATAGAGATTTTTCTTTTTGAATTGTAAATGATACAAAAAAGATATTCAGCTGTAAATTTGGGTCTGCGGATTTTCGGGATCAGGGAATCGATTGGAGCTAGAGGAGCTATTGATTTTATTGGAATTTGGGTTAATTGGTCTAAACTTTTAGAGGAACTCGAAAACTTATTAGCATTGAGAGAAGATTCGCAGCTTTCAAAAGATATATAATCAGCACATTCATTTATCCTTAGAAATTTACCATATTGTAAATTAGGTATCATTGGAAATTTAAAATACGATTTTTTTACAATTCTGTAAAAGATTGGCTATCTTTTGGCTATAAACACTTATAAAAAATACCGACTGGGGCTACCAGTGGTGAATTTATCTCATACACGAAATATATCAATCACAATACAACGACACACACAATACTAGGCTATATCTTAACTTAACCCACGTCATGACAGACTGCTCCCTAACCCTAAGCTCAATGGGGAACTAAATAGCTTTTTTGGTGGTGAAGGGAAGATGACGATGAAGGAGTATGAAAACTTATGAAATAAAAACAATCAGGAAGCTTTAGAGGGATTTAAAAAGGACAAAACTTTCGCCGTACCCTGTACTTTATTCAGGGAATGAAATAAAGTGCGCAAAGATTAATACACATAAATTCTTACACATACACACGGAAAGGACCGATAGAAAGCAACGCGATAGAGAAAGTTTAAAAAATACTGAACCAATCGCCAAAGGAACTTATAAAGGAACTTATAAAGGAACTTATAAAGAAGCTTATAAAGAATCTTATAAAGGAACTTATAAAAGAAGCTTATAAAGAAAGTGGCGAAGCAATGAAATGCTCGTTCTTCGAGCGCACTCTGATCAGACCATTTTTGATAAAATTTGTATAGTGTTTGTTCTAAAAAAAGCTTAACTTGAGAATAAGACGCAAAAAACAAAAAGATAAATTTTAGCATTTATCAAAATTGATAAGAAAATGATCGTTTGATGGATTTCAAACAAAAACGAACAAAAAAAAATGATAAAGTGGCTATATTTTCGTTTTTTTTTTCTCTGACCACTCAAGAGAAAGATCTTCACAAAAAATGCAACACAAGGGATTTATAAATGTAAATTTATTTAAATTATTTTATTTAAATAGATATTAAATAGAAATTTGAAAAGAAAACAATGAAAAAATGAAATAAATAAATCATTCTCTGAAATGTCTACGATTTCTTATCAAATTAAAGGGGTTTGTAAAAAAAATGAAAGCCCTCAAGTGTGAAAAGCCGTTTTTTTTTGGCTCGACTTTGAACTTTTTCTTTTTCTTTGATCACCCGTTAATTGCAAGGTTTTCAATTGTTTATTCAATTGCTTATTCAATAAAAAGTGGGGATTTGGTTTAGTAACGATTTTTAAATAATAGGTTGATGCAAGGGCCCTCATGGTGTATTGGTTAAGTTCTCACTTCCAAACTGAGGGTGTGGGTTCTGGCCCCCTAGGTTCTCTTCCCCAGCCCGTGCGCCCAGACTAGAGGTCTCTTCTCTAGAGCTGACTAGAGATCCCTTCTCTAGCGGAGTTCACTCTTCCACTGGGCTGGCCCATTCATGGCTTGAGGTTATTAAAGCAAGAAGCCTATCTTCTATCTATCTTCTTTCTCCCCCGCCTCCACATCGCCGAGTAAAATATCTCATCTTCTCTATGTATTTATGTGTAGATTTGTGTATTTTCTGACTGATTACGCTTTTATTTCATGTCCTGAATAAAGTATGAATATATATATAAGTCTTTTCGTTTTTTTCGTACTTCTGTTAAAAAGTAACAAATTCACCAATTAATCTATAGTTTGCTCTATAAAAAAGTGTTTTTTTGTTCAATTTGCATCTTTTAAATCAATTTCGGTTCACTTTCAAGCAAATCCGAGAGTGAAAACGCCTTTTTCGTAAAAATCTATAAAAACTCTACGGAAAAAATTGGCTGAATGAATTTCTCTGAAATTTTGGCGAAATATCAAACTTTTTTTTCTCTATCTTTTATCTATTGACACGAAGATAGGTTTTCTTTAGCTAAGGTGTCTAAACCGCATCATCGAGTTAGCCCTTTTTGACTACCCGACTTCATACTCTCAAGAAAATCCAGGCATAAAATATTTTTAAACCTGTTTTAATGTTATTTTGCAGAAAAATAATTGGTTTTTCTAATGAAATCAACCGTAGTTTAATTGGTGCATTTGTTGGCTTGAAACGGCAGACGAAAAGGAACAAAAACACTTATGCATCAACCTAATAGATTGTTATTGGGTTGGGGAGAATGAGTCGGCGCCGAAATTTAAAGAAACTTTTTGCACTCCATAAAACCTTCTTTAAATACACGTTTTGTTTCCATCAAAATGGTCCACTATTTCTTTACAAAATGGCTTTGAGAGATTCCACAAAGCTTTTCTTTTTTGGGATTTTATGGATTCCCAAACACAGCTAATCAAAATGACAAAAAGTCCGACTCATTGCTTGAACAGTTTCTTCCACATAAACCTCCTTTGGTGTTTATATAAAAAGATAGAGCACACTCAATTACATAAGTTACCAAATTTTCAGGAAGATCCCTCCAACCGTTTACTCTTAGATGACAGTTTATCGATTTTGTGAAAAATGATCCTTTGTTGAGTTGAGGCGCTGTTTGAGTTCTCTTTAAATATTATTTTGTAGAGAATTAGTTACCCTTCTACGGGTATCAAACGCATATCATTTGACAAAGTTCACTGCTATAAGTTTTAGAAATTTCTTTGATTTTCGGCGCCGACTCATTCTCCCCAACCCAATATATGACAAAATGTTGTATTTTAATTTTATAGGTAAGGTTGAGAAGCCTAACGCAAGAGCGTTTATTAGGGAACAATTTTGGGGACGCAAACGTAAAAATTCGGAAAAGTGTAAAAATAAAGTAAATATCCAAGAGTACAATACAAAAAAGAAAACTAAGCTTCCAGATCAAAAAATAGAAAATTTTAATAGGTTGATGCATAAGTGTTTTTGTTCCTTTCGTCTGCCGTCTCTGCCAACAAATGCACCAATGCACCTTACAGGTTGATTTCATTAGAAAACCAATTATTTTTCTGCAAAATAACATTAAAAGGGGTTTAAAAATACTTTATGCCTGGATTTTCTGAGAGTATGAAGTCGGGTAGTCAAAAAGGGCTAACTCGATGATGCGGTTTAGACACCTTAGCTAAAGAAAACCTATCTTCGTGTCAATAGATAAAAGATAGAGAAAAAAAGTTTGATATTTCGCCAAAATTTCTTAGAGAAATTCATTCAGCCAATTTTTCCGTAGAGTTTTTTATAGATTTTTACGGAAAAAGGCGTTTTTCACTCTCGAATTTGCTTGAAAGTGAACCGAAATTCATTTAAAAGATGCAAATTTGAACAAAAACACTTTTTTTTATAGAGCAAACTATAGATTAATTGGTGAATTTGTATATTTTTTTAACAGAAGTACGAAAAAACGAAAAAGACTTATGCATCAACCTAATATATCCGAAATTTCATTTGCATCATCTTAGTAGATTTATTTAGATTATCTAGATTTATTTAAACGTGTTCTTCTAATTGAAATCTAATTGAAAACAGTGTGAATTAAAATCGTAAAGCAGAAAACTAAAACAAAGTTGCTTAGGAGAAGCTGGGAAAAAGTAATTTGTTTGGAAAAAGTGATTTTCAAAAGTGAAAAGTGATTTTCTGTTATAAGCGTAAATTTGACGCAATGATACACGGCGCATGAATTTTTGGCGCAAATGAAATTGGGGCAAAATTGGCGCGCTTTTGCTAGCACCTCAAAAATTTAGCACAAAAACATGAACGAAAAACTTTTGGCTGATTTGAAAGACTTCTAATAAGGAAAGCTTATCAAAATTGAAATCCAGCAACTCCACAAAATATTGAAATCACTTGGTAAAGTTTGAATTCAAAGAGATATTTCAAAAACTACAACTATCTGGAGAGCACTGATCACGTTGTTGTCACGTTGATGGCTTAAATTTAACTGTAAAGTAAATCTTCGGGTCAAAGAAAGTGATCGCTCTTTTGTGTGCTCTTTGAAGCTCTTTGTGTGCTCTTTGTATGATCTTTGAAGCTGTTTGAAGCTGTTTCATTTGCTTGAAGCTGTTTGAAGCTCTTGAAGCTCTTTGAAGCTCTTTGAAGCTCTTTGAAGCTCTTTGAAGCTGTTTGAAGCTCTTTCAAAGCTGTTTGAAGCTGTTTGAATCTCTTTGAAGCTCTTTTGAAGCTCTTTGAAGCTCTTTAAAGCTGTTTGAATCTCTTTGAAGCCTTGAAGCTCTTTGAAGCTCTTTGAAGCTCTTTGAAGCTCTTTAGCTCTTTGAAGCTCTTTAAAGCTTAAACAACCTTCTGAGAAAACAAAAACAGTTTTGAACGTAGAACGAAGTTTTGAACGGTGAGCAATCTCTCCTTTTGTCAAGTGCGTCGCAAAAATTTTTGAACAATTTCAAACAATCTGTTTTTTCTCTTTATTTGCAAAAGACGGCAAAACAAATGATTATTTCTATTTTGATTCTTCATTTCTCTTTATTTCTTCATTTGATTCTCTGGCTTCT